GAATGAGATTGCTTCAAGGGAGAGAGAAAACACACACACCCCAGCAGGGAAATGAATGGAGATTTCTCTCAACTTGGGAAATGTTCCTGAAACTGCCCCTTAAACACTCACTCTCTTTGTACATTTGGCAGGCCTTAGAGAATCTCTAATGGAGTATTTTTCAGCCTTTTATAAAAAGCACCATCTTACCTTTAAATAAAACCCTGGGCAGAAGCCCAGTACACAAATGGATTAGTGATTACAGTGAGGCTGCCTTGATTGAAGCAGGAGTTGGGGAGAGGATGAGCTGGGGCCAGCCTGCTACCCAGGCACTATCTGAACATCAGAGTGACAGATTGAGCCGGGCAAGCCAAGCCCCCGGCCTGGGAGTCCAGACTTCTTTGTCCTGGCCTGCTCACCCCCTCCCCCAGCCCCTGCCAGCCCGAGGGCACACAGCTCAGGTCTCCAGGCTTGCTTCCCAGTTAGAGGAGGCTCTGTCCTCAGTCAGAGGGCTCAGCTGTAGCCAGGGTTCCTGTCCCCCAGAGGAGGGGCCCCAGGGCGGTGTGTCAGCCATAGTTACCTGTCCCCAGTGAACAGGCAGTGAATTGTTTTCGCTTTCCACATCAGTGGCTGCCCTGCCAGCCCTGGGGAGGGGCAGCTGGAGACAGACAGCATCACAGCCTGCCCTCACTGTTGTCCCTGGCCTTTGGTTTGGGACAAAAAGCAGGGTTGCTAGGCTTGAGCCATCTTTCCTCTTTTGTGGTCATGGAGCCGGTTATCACAGAAGGTGGCTCTGTGGCATTTCAGGTCACCACAACAGTCCGATTCCTAGTGGCCAATGGCAAAAGGAGAAAAGAAGGCTAATGAAGTGGAGTTTTCAAGAAGCCAAACAGTGCACTTGAAAGCCTTTTATTTCAAGGCTATGAACTGCTTGCTTTTCAGTCTTACAATGCCTTTTCTTTCATAAAATAAGGGCAAAAAGAGATGGTCACTGTCGTCCTCACTTGGCAAAATGGAAAATGTGTCAGTATCCAAAATAAAATGTCCTGAGGATATCTGGGAAATCCGAGAGCTTGGTAACCTCTGTTCTAACATTTTATAAAATTATGATTCTTATTTTCTTATTTAGGCATGATTAAAATCAAATATGTAAAGAAAGTAAAATGAGAAGCAAAAGAAAGGAGAACAGAGCGTGTGGGGCCCAGCTGGGAGCCTTTCCACCCAGTCTGCTCCTCTAGAAGGAGGCAGCAGGTTCCCAGGGAGAGGGCAGGTGATGGTGACACAGCCAGGTGTTCCTGGGAAGTCCAAGCTCCATGCTGCACAGCCTGAGGCCACAGTGTTCCATGCCAGCCAGGGCCAGCAGAAAGGTGTGGAAAACAATGCACCTTTAAAGGGCTCTCCCCGGCACCTGTTAGCTAGCAAATGGCAGGAGCTTGGCTGGGAGGGCGGAAGTGCTGGTACCAGCTGCCTGAGAGGGGTCTAGCTGGACACAGGTCGTTCCTCTGCAACACATTTTTGCCAAGAAAGCCAGCTGTTGGGTGTGGATGGCAGGCAGCAACTCAGCAGCTGCAGGTCCCACACCCTTCTAAACTGCTGTCCTTACCCCTCCTCCTAATGCCACTATCACTCCCTCTGGCTCAGCCACACACCTCCCTGCCTCAAGACTGATGGCTAGGAAGCCCTGGGATGACAATGTACAGCAGGAGANGAATCTGAGGGGTGAAGTTACACTGGGAGGTGGCACAGACAGGGTACACAGCCTGTCCTTCACACCACCAAGGTCAGTTTCTTCACAAAACCCCAATATCTGTTCACAAAAACCAGGCTCACTCACATCTTCCTGACTTGTGTGTGTGCAAATGTCACTGTGGGCTCAACTGCTGTCCTATTAATGTCCTTGGAGTGGGGCTTGTCACTGCTGTCCCCTTGGGCACTAACTCTGACCAGTCCAGTCCTCTTTCCCTGTTTACTTGACTCGACACATAGAAGAGATGAACTTGCCTCTGTGTTAGCATGAATGCTTGATTCTGGAGGCAGGGGTGGCACGGTTGGTATGGAGAAGGGGAACTGAGGGAGGTGGGCTTCCCAGTGTCAGAATCATCCTATAAATAGCTCCCCTCTGCCTTGGTCTAGAGTGAGGCAAATCTTGGCCTGGAGAAAGGTCAGCCTCCCACCCCATCTGTCTCCCCCTCCCCCCACAGGGCATGCCTCCAGCTGTAACCAGCACAAGGCCCTGCCTCTGTGGGGCACAGGGCAGGGCACCATGGGGCCTGGCATGGGGACCTCCTGCTGGATTCTTCTCGGCCTATTTCAAAATAGGGTTTCAGTTCCTCAGCACCTCGGCCCTCCTGTGGAAAAAGTGATCTGCCAGGCTCCCCAGCAAGGTAGTTCCTCAAACGCTTGACACAGAAGCTACTTCCAGCCCAGCGTTAAGTCTTATATCTGGGGTTCCCATTCAACACTGTTTTTGTGGGTGCAGGGCATAAGGATGTCTTGCTTTAGCAACCTCATTAGAGGAAGATCTGCATGTACCCAAACAGGAGGTGGTTTTTCTCTTGCCTGCCTCTGTTCCCCACTTCTCTCCCACTCCTCTCCACTTCCCGCTCTGAGCTCCAGCCTTCCTGAGCTGCTCACAGCTCCTGTAATGGTCTCTGGGCCTTTTCTTTTCTTTGGGCTTTTATGATGTTGTTTTCTGCTCAGAACACAGCCTCCTCCCTGTCTTACCCTCTGATGTTAGCTCCTCCAGGAGTCCCTTGGCAGAGCAGCTCAATCCTGCAGGGTCAGGAGCAGCTCCTCTCCTGCCCTGCTCCTGCTCCCAGCTCCCCTCTGTGCTGGGCTCTGCAGGCGTCTTGTTTTGACTCCTTAGGAGAAGAGGAGACACTACTTTTCTGCCTCACCACTTGTTTCCAGCACCAAACACAAGCTTGGCACGTTGCAGGAAGTCCATCAATAGCTGTTAGATTATTGGATGAATACGAGAAGCCTCAGGCCCCAAAAGTCAACTTTCCCAGAGTTGTGCATATACAGTTGGAATAAAACCCGTAAAAGTCTCCAGGGCCCAAGGAGGTGACTAAACTGAAAGACACTGATCAGCGGAGTCCATGAGGAGCTGGGGGACACATTCCTTCTCTAGAGGAGCAGCTCTTCTGGTGTTTCATTAAGCCAGAAACCTGGATTTTTATGGGCTATATTTCCTGTTTAAAGTTGGGTGACCGGAAGACACTGGCTGCCCCCCCCAGGGACCACCATGTGATGTCTCACTATCTCCAGCCCCCTGCAGCTCTGGGGCCAGGTGACTAACTCTACAAATGCGTGTTGTGTGTCACTCCCAGGCCAGCTCATTTGAGCCACTGCAACCTTGCAGCTCTCCTGTCCCCTGCCATGGTGACCCTGAAAGTCATGTGTTCCAATTGGTGAACCTTCTTGATGGTCAGCCTGTGTTCCTGAGTATCTCTGTGGATTAGAATCCTCTGTCAACCCACAGTGGATATGGACTAGGAAAGAGAAATCTTCTGCTGTGATAAGCCTTTGGTGTTTCAGGAATTTGTTATTGCAGCATCACTTACACTATCCTGACTAATGCAGTAAATAATTCACACACACACGTGCACACACATAGGTAAAAATAAAACATAGCCAGGTGAAACACACTTGCAAGACAAATGTCCTTAGTGGGGCTCCAGTTTGTGACTTCTGATTCATAACATGACTCAGTTTACAATACTTTCATTCTCCAATAGCATGTGGGGAATGTGCCCATTTTGCTCTATGTAGTAGGAGCACTTATATGTAGACTTCTCTATAAGCAGTGATTAGTAGTTAACAGAAGATGCTTCCTACAGAGCTCTGGGCTGGGAGCTGCTAAAGATTCATGTGGCCTCAGTTGCATGCCTTTTCCTCTCTGAGCCTTAATTTTCCCATCTGTATAATAGAAATGTTGACCTTTGATGGGTTAGAAATTTTCTCAACTGTAGAACTCTATTCAAATGGGACATTTATACCAATCAGATGAAAGGGGGCTGCTTTGGTTGACAGTGAGGTGAATAGTGGGGAGCCCCACTCAGGGCCTTGCCCAGGGCTCCAGATAATACTATTGGCAAAGCCCGGTGCTGAGTAACACATGAGATCTTCCCCACGCTGGCCTTCAGGAGTGTTTTACAATCCTGAAGGCCTGACAATTCAAAGGACGTAACCAAGGTGCTGAGCATCTCCAGCTGGAGTTGGGTCGCTCCAGCTGGAGTTGGGTCGCACCAGCTGGGGGAGGCTGCACAGAGGAGGGAATCAGGAAGAAAGAGAAGGAGGGCCTGGATTGCAGATGGCAAAGTGAAAAGAGAAAGGGGAAGGTGAGGCGAAGGGTAAACAGTTTAGCTTGGAGGGACAGAGAATGGGGTATGCCACCTAAGGTGAGGGTGGGAGGTGAGCAAGGCTGGGGGGAGTCAATGAAGGCCCCGATTCAGCAAATGGGGCCTCTTCCAACTTCCCTTGATGAGTCTCCAGCCTTAGGAGGTGGAATCTCGGCCTCTGCTTTGAAAGAGACACATATTTCTGTGTCCTCTGGCACTCATCATCTATGTGGCCCTAAGCAAGTCACGTGGTCTGTCTGGTTCGCACGTGACCCATCCCTCCACTCCAAGTAGGCAATATCTCCATCTCCTCCAGCTCTAGTCCTGAGCTCTGGGCTCACTCACAGAATTCCACTCCAAATCTGAACACTGTGTATTTGTGTCCCCTTTACCAGACTGAAGGTTGGGATTATCATTTTGATAATCCCAGTGTCTTGTTGAGCTCAAAATTAAATTGCACAAGTGCCTAAGGGGTGTCCTAGAGATAACATGAATGAGATTGCTTCAAGGGAGAGAGAAAACACACACACCCCAGCAGGGAAATGAATGGAGATTTCTCTCAACTTGGGAAATGTTCCTGAAACTGCCCCTTAAACACTCACTCTCTTTGTACATTTGGCAGGCCTTAGAGAATCTCTAATGGAGTATTTTTCAGCCTTTTATAAAAAGCACCATCTTACCTTTAAATAAAACCCTGGGCAGAAGCCCAGTACACAAATGGATTAGTGATTACAGTGAGGCTGCCTTGATTGAAGCAGGAGTTGGGGAGAGGATGAGCTGGGGCCAGCCTGCTACCCAGGCACTATCTGAACATCAGAGTGACAGATTGAGC